CATATGGTCACATTTAAACCAATTCATCGAAAAACACCTCCAAGAGCTCTGGCTGCGCAGCGCATGGCCGTGGGCGTTTGGGCTTTTTCACAGCCACAAGGCTTAGAGTTGGTGGCCGAAGGCTGCTTACCCTCCGGTTTGCTGGTGGATCGTGGGAGCTTGCTCTTCGCGGACGCCTATGCCGCTGGGCACGTCCACGTCCACGTCCGAACCCGACGGTCTCAGATGTCAACCGCCACGATGTCAACCGTCGATGCGCTGAGCGTAGCGTTTTTTTTGCGTGCGCCTTCGGGATACTCTCAAAAGGACTCAAAAAGACCGAGACTCTACAGGAGGTACATGTGGGATAGGCAAGTCTGACGGACGCGCAAAAACCACCGGTGTGGGTTCCTTTTTGCCTCACCTTTGAGCATAATAGATGAGGAAACCTTTTTCGTGTCACAGCTCGGCGTGTTCAGGGTGAGAGGTTTATATAAAGGTTGGGGTTCCTTGATATTTTCGTTGCTTTGTGCATGGCTGAGCTGCATGACAGAAGTTTTACTTCGAACCATCCAAAGGCCTCATGCCTTGCACTAGACGTTTCACAGGAAGTGAACTTCCATCGCTGACGACGTTTCCCCAGGACCACTGCGTCCTGCGCTGCACCTGGCGTGGCGGCGCTGCCCGGAAGGTGGTGGCGGGCGCCGCGAAGGATGCTTTGCCAGCGACGCATGGCCCCAGCTTGGCGAGGCGCGGGGAAGACAAAGCCCTCACCCGACTGTGGCAAGTGGAAAGCCAAGGAAAGAAACTAACCGAACCTCATCATTTTTCCTAGTGCCAGCCATTCTTTGAGCTTTTTCTCAATCTTTCTTGGTATCTTGCGATGGACGGGTTCTCGGCGCATCTTGAGAGAATCTTTTTCCGTATCCAAGGCTGTTGCTGGAGAAATCATCCACCCAAAGAACATACTGTTTTGGTCTTGGACTTCAAATGACTTCAAAGAGGCCCAACCAATGCAACCTCTTGCGACATGTTTGTTGCTGACCTCATCCTGCTGTCAGCAGCTGTCGGACCCAGCGTGGACTCCACAGGCTGCATCGACCCTTTGCTGTGGCGTTGGACTGGGACGGCACCAGTCTGTTGGTCTGCGACAGCGGCAACCACCGCGTGGTGCGCTGGCCCAAGGACGCCCAGCAGGGCGAGGTGCGAGGGAGGGACTCCGCCGGGAAGTTGCAGGTGAGTGAGGGAGGAACCAAGCGGCCAACCGCAGGATGGGGCAGTAGTCCTTGAAAACTCACGGTTATAGCACCTCGAATCACCTCAGGGGAGATTCACAGACACTGCCTTCGGTGGAAGCCCTGAGGATCCCTGAGGTATTGGAGTAGCATTGCCCCAAAGCTCCGCACCACGCGCAAAGCGAGCTCGCGCTAAGCGCGTTCGCTCCACGTGGGGGGTCTCGGTTGTGTGGAGGTGATTTGCGGCGGAGAGCAGGGCAAGGCCTTGAATCAGCTCAACTACCCCAGGGCAGCGATCCTGGAGCCAGTTCCCTGGATAGCAGTGAGGCGATGCTGCTCCGGGGAGCACGTATATCAAAGCCTGGTGGGAGCTGCATGACTTCATATGCAGCTCTTATAGGAACATGTTTTGGAGCTGATTCTCCCAAACATTCCAAGAGCCAAAGCATGCCAAAGCTGTCTTTTCCTCAACCATTTTGGATCCATCGGTTGGTCGTTACGGAGGTCCCCCAAAGGTCACGGTCACATGGTGAGGCAAGGCTTTGGGATGGCCCGACCCAGTGGTCGAATAGTCCAGGTCCCATCAACGGCGGCTGCCATGGGGTGGATTCCAGGCCCCGCAGCGCACCCATCTCAATCACCGCTGGAACAGAGCAGACCTGGCCGTGAACCAGAAGTCCTCCAACCTGTAGAGCCCAGAGACTCCTCCCGGGAGAACCCGGTCACGTCGAGTCCGACTCGATGTCCCGAGTCCGACGAGACGTTCGGATGGCTCTCGCCGAGGAGACGGGTGCCTTGCTGATTGCCGACACCTTCAACCATCGCTGCTGGACCGCGAAGATGGACTCTGCTGGGCCGCGTTTGATGCTTCATCCCCAAGAGATAAAAGACGTCTCCAAGACCTCAGCAAAACCAGGTGACAGTGCCCCAAACGCGAGCAGAGTCTAGTGTCTATATAGTGGGCCATAATTACCATGCGCATAGAACCACCAGTCATACCAGGACCTCCCTGACTGTTTTAGGGTCTCCATCAACCACCACCGACTGCGGCGGTTCTTGCGGGGTCGCTCCGTCGCCGCCGAGGCCTCCTGCGCTGGCGCCGCGGCGCCTCCAGCGGTGAACTGCTCTTCGGTCGCGGCCGAGGACATCAGCTGGATCAGCTGACGCTCGGACGGCACGTGGCGGCGCACGCTCCGGTTTGAAGTGGTCAGAGGTTGGTGAAAAACGTTGACGTTTTGGCTAGATGTGCGTCAAATCGATGTCACATGGCACCATGAGCGATCTGTGGAGCACTATATAATTGGCAATCCCATGTAGGTACCTCAGTACCAGGACACCCTAAGGAGTTTCTATTGACAGCTCCTTACAGGTTAAGGGGTGTCCATGAACCACCCAACTCCAGTGGGTCCTGGTATAGGCTCCTCTTTAGGGGTCACTTGACCTCTCTGTTAGCTCCCCTACCCTTCGAACCCGAGGAATCGCCCCACGGCCTTGGCCCTGGACCGCGTGCAGCGGCGCTTGCTGATCGCCGACTCGGGCAACCATCGGATCTTGAGCATACGCCTGTGACCGAGGCATCGCGGCCGGCATGGCGGGGCATGGGGCTGGGAGGAGGAGCGGGAGGAATCACCACCTAGGAGGGGGGGTTTGGTGTGTTCTTTTGGAAGGGTCTGAGGGAAGACGGAGACCAGAATAAGGATAATAAGGTGAATCTGATGGTTTTAGGCAGGTTCAGGCCATGTGTTTCGACTGCAATTGGGGTCAAGTGGTTCACAGAAAAGTTGACACCATGTTTGAAGCCAGTTGTGGGCCTTGTGAGTTTGCATCGTTCACTATACCCTGGTGAACCAGTTGAAACTCCAGGAGAGAAACGCCCTGAGGGCGAATTAACCCTTGACACAAGCCGCAAAGATCCACAAATACACCACTTTCCAGACAGTCTCCGAAAGACGTACCTTCTCTTGTTTTTTTGGCGATCTTTCGATCAAAATGTTCGAAATGATTTGGAGGGGCAGGATGCAGAAGCATTATGAAAGTCGGATTTGACATTGAACAAAGTGAGATGACCTCTGAAAACCACTGTAGAGGAACATCGTCTTCCAGTCTGGTCCATGCCAGTCGCCCGGTTCCATGTGGGTCCCTTCCCAGGTGTATTTCAGGTTCCATTTTCGTGGTGTTATTCTTCAGGTTACAGACCTCATTTTACTCGAGTTGGTCCATACACTACTCAATGAAGTCAATGGACCAGGGGTCCAGGACCTGGGTCTAGTCCTGGACTTGTACGGTTGTTGCTTTGTCCAGGACTTGAGGTCCTGTGCCACTGCCGCTCAGCTGCCCGGCGCATGCCCTGCGCGGCTGAGCCTCACGTGCTGATTAGGGTTGATTCACTCTCGTCGTGAGATTCTCCCGTGATAGCGTTTGGAAAGAGAAGATGTCCCTTTCCAAGTGCAGATCGGCCCCACCGTCCGTTGCGTCACCAGTATGACAGGGTTGGAGTCAGAAGACCCAAGGCTTAGATTTGTGAAGGTGGCCTCCCATCATTCCGACTCGGAAACTAAGAAATGTGTTTCGAAGACATCTCGACCACATCATATTTGCAGCCCCAAGGATCAGAGGGTTGAGCTGAATTCGGCATGCCAAGATATGCCAAGTGCCATGTGAAATGTGATTTCAAAAGGCTGACAACAACATTGGGGTTTTGCAGCAACCGTGATCACAGAGCGGCGTTAAAGTGTGTTTGGAATTTGGCCTGTTTGTGGGATACACTGATGCAAGTACTGATGCTGATGCACTGCCGTCACTACACCTGTCACGTCTACATAGACGAGGACATTGATCTGGAAGAACTAGCTTGCTACAGCTTGGAGTTGCTTTCCATGTTGAGACCCAGCGGTGCAAGTGACCACTTGGAGCAAAGCAATTTTCGTTATCGGATTCATCTAAATGGCGCTTTGTTCCGGGTGAGCTGCCCGCAGCTTGCCCGTCACACACAGAACTTGAAGTCAACAACTTGCCACTCTCATCCAGCAGAATGGTGTTCCACTTGGTAAGGTTCTTTTTTACTCAGGGGATTCAGCGCCTTAAGGGTTTCAGCTCAACCCCCTTAGTATCCGTCCCTTACCTACGGCAACCTTTGGGGGCGCTGTGGGACTGTCTCACCTGCCACACCGCGCGACGCGTGCGCCACTCCGCCACTCGTGCGAAAAAGAAGCGTGGCGATTCAGGGAGTGCGTGGAGAAGAAATTAGGGGGCAGACATGCCAATGCCTGATTTGGGACTGCCAGGACGGACTGCCGAGAGTTCCGGCCTCCGGGGTGGTGCGTGCCAGGGGGTCAATTGATCGGTATATATGGCAGTCCCATGGAGTGTTTGGGTTATGGTGATGAACCCTAGTTGAGGTGCCTAACATAGAGCCTCATCATTGACCCGTCCTGACACTTGGGCTCCACAGGCTCACTGAACGACTGAACGAGGACGAAAGCTGTCAACTCAAGGGAGCACAACCAACCCCTGCCCCACAGTGGTTTTCATATGTGTGAGGGCCCAATCCTTGGTACTTGGGTGCTGGCCCTTGTTTTGAGGGAAAATATGCTACGCCGATCCTCAGGAAGAGGGCTCAGACATTCGACTCGGGCTTCTGAAGGCAGCAGAGTGATGCAGAGTGGACAGTCATCGAAGAGTGAACCGGAGTGATCTACCTTGGTCCTGATCACTCTGATTTGCATCACTCTGATCACTCCTAGGTCCTGGTCTACATAGTAGAGTGGTCCTGATTTGCCTGTCTAGGTCCACTCTACTATGTCCTCATGGCTTTGTCCATCGTCGTGGCAGCAGCCTGGCATCGAGTTTTCTGCGGCGGCAGCGGGGGTCGGTGGGCCCAACGGGGCACTTCGCAGGACGTTGTGGGCCAGAGCTCGATTTGACACTCCTTCCCATGCGTGGTTGGAAAGTCACCAGACCAGACCGCACAAATTGATGCGTTTTGCTTTTGGCTGGATCTTCTTTTTGATAAAAACAAGGCAGAGATGTTGCATATACAAGTTGGAAGATCTCGGTATAGCTACTCGTGAGGTGTGTGGACCCTGAGGCAAGTCAGTTTGCCGAGGCTGGGATGACGTGGCGCTTCTTTGGCGAGGTGCACGCCTTCCGACGCTCGGCCAATGACGAATTGGAAGCTGCAATTTTTGCACACCGAACTCGCCTTTCCTCCACTTCCTTCTCGTTTTTGTGGCTTTGATTGGATTTTGCATTTTTGCAGGGAAGGAGGGAGTGTTGAATTTCTTGACCAGATTGTCATTGGTTCTTCTGTTTTGTGGGTGCCGGCAAACAGCTATTATTGGGTTGCTATTGGGCTTTGTTTGGGACAACACGGTTTCAGGATGGTGTAGGGTTGAGCCTTTGACTTTGGGAGCGGGAGCGCCACCTTCCACGGGATCCAGCCATTCCCAGTTTTGACCCTCGCAACTAAGGTTTTAGGACCAAACCAACATTGTAACATATATATGGCTAATTATGTAGCAGTTGGTTCTGTTCCAGGGTCACCTTCGGGTCACAAAATCACCAACGTTTGCCAGGGAATCATCAAAAATTGACTCAATTGGCTCGGTTTTCATCACTTTGGACACTCAATCCATACCGAGGTCCAGCTCCCGCTCCAGACTCCCCTCACACCTCTTTGCGCCTCTCCGACTGCCAACTCTTAGAAAGGTGAATTGACCCGATTTCATGTGTCCGACGGACCGTTGGAAGCGGAGTACATCTGGAAGAGGTCACCACAGTCACGTACTTGTCAGTATCGAGCTATAATGATCAAATATTAAGTTTATAGTTTCGTTTTTAACTTCAGAAGCTTGATGAACCTTGTAAAAACTGGGTGACCTGTAGGCTCGGGTCATGAAAAAGAGACGTTGGGGAAGACGGTGCTGGACCTTCAGGAAGCTTGCTCCTTCGGAAGATGGAGATTGGCCCGGAGCCTCGGAGAGAGGGCGAGAGGGCCTCTCATTGGTTGGATGAAGAACTACAAGGGGAGAGGGCCATATATTTATATAATATATATGGAGAGGATTGAAGAGGTCAGGTTGCTCCACAACGAACCATGGGGGAAGACCTTGGAAAGGCATTTTACCTTCTTTTGAACTGGTCATTTCATGCCACTTCGACGGAGCGAGTAGGGCCGTAGCTTCACTCCTTTGCTTGGAGGTGCGTGGCCGGACATGGGGATTGCCAGCGCTGACTTGCCACCACAAGGCAGGCCCGTTTGAAAGAATGGATAGCTCATTAATTATTATATAAATCTAGTGAGCAAATCTAAGTTATTTTACATCTATAAGTCTATAATCAATTGATCCTGCAACTTATAATGAGTACAATGTTTGCTCTCCAATTTCTGGGGCGTGTCCAAAAGTTGGCGCATCAGAGAAACTCCAAATCCTATGTGCTTCTCGATGCAGGTCAAAACTAGGCGGGCCATGTGGGGCTGATTCTTAGCAAAGAATCTTTTCTTAGACACATCGTTTTTTCATTTGACGAAAGATGAAAGTAAGGAATCCTGGATCATCCAGGAATGATGGCTATAGATCCTGTTCGGGTCAGCTACACTGGAGGGGTCAGCTACCCTCCATTCCGACCCAAATTCCCTACCTTTCGTCGCAGTCAGCCCACTTCACTGAAGTCACAGTCGGCAAGGCTGCCTCTTCGTCATGGGCCTCAGGCACGGGCTTGCCGAGTGCAGCGTGTGGGGGCGGCTCGCTCGGCTTCCATGTGCAGATCGAAGTGTAAGACGGTGGCATCTTCAGGATGATATGCCTAGGAGATCCTTGGAGAGCCTGAGTTTGGGATGTCAGCTTTCCAGCATTCAGATGCATTCAGCAGAAAGAAACACTCTGGCCCTAAAGACTCCACAAGATCCACAACACAACGCCCGCCATGCGGGCCGGCGTTTAGGAGTTGGGTTCCTTCATCCTTGCTGAGATCTCTACGGATCCACTGCGAAATATGGAGTTTCCCTGGCTTGGAGCATATAGTCATGGACCAACCAGCCAGGCAGGTTGATAGATGGTATATGGTATTGTTTGGGCGCTCCAAGTCCCATCGTAAGATCTCGCTGTCCAATCGCTGACAGGTGGATGGGCTATCGCCATTGCTGCTTACTTTGCAGACACGTGTGGTAGGGTGTAGAGTGTGTGTGTGGCACAGCATGTGGGGCCGGAGGTGGGGTTGAAATATGTTGAAGTACAGTCTGTAGTTTCAGAGGTTCAATGGCACTGGCACACCACGATGTCTTTTGGCATAATGGGGTTCATACAAAGCGCCTAACTGGGACTATCGTGCCGTCTACTCTCAATCCACTCACTGACTACCAGCACCTTCCGGAAGCTCGGCGTCTCCTCGCTGGACTACCCAGCACTACGTACGTGGATCTCCAGACAGGACACCCCCGGTCCCATGAAGGTTCGACTCAGACCCTCCAAGTACCCAATCCCCCACGCCCCAAAGCGGCGAGGCAATCTCAACGACTCCTTCCTTATTTCGACCTGGGGTCAAGTGCGAAGAGTGAAGACCTGGGGTCTATTAGCATGGGTGGTGTTGTTGCCAGGGCAATTTTTCAATCATTTCATGGACCCTCGCAGGGCCCTTGCAGGGCCCCAGGCAATGAACACCCGAAAGATCGCATAGTGTCGCATGTTGTGTCGCATTGGGGTTCAGCCAAGGTCGGGAGAAAAATCACTTTCCGAACCGCACGGGGGTTACACACACCGTCACACACGGTTACACACACACGGTGTACCACTGCGACATCGCTTCTCCATCGCATGATACTACGCCGACGATCTCGGAGAGACAGGAGCGTTAAGGCCTAAGTAGGCGCGCAGTATCGAAGCTTTCGAGGCTTCGATCTGCTCCTGTTGATGACCTTCACGGGACTGGACGTGATCCTCTTAACCGCCGAGCCACTTGCACCGCTTCCGGATTGGCCCCAAATGGCCTGGGCTGCCATGATCTACTGGGGTCAGTAAATGAGGGAATTGCAAGACAACTTGCTTTGCTTGGTTTTGCTGGCCATGCTTCCAGGAAGGGTGTACAGACAGGAGGTAGAAGCTCATGAGGTATTTGAGATAGTTTTTGGGACATGCACCACATGGCTTTGTCCTTGCCGTTGATGTAGCAAGGGGGGGAATCCGTCATGATGAGTCGATAAGGTTTTGGCGTATTACTGCCACATGTATGGGGATGTGTTGAGCTTCTTTGTGGCAGGAATGAGTATGAAGAAGTGATCAAGATCCAGTATAGAGTCTTGAGTGTTTATCGTGAAAAGATGCGAGTTGTGAAACGAGACTCACGGAACCCCATGTCACTTGATGGCCGGTCGA